CGTTGCTTCTTGTCCTGCCTTCAGGCGCTTTGGAGAATAGCTTGACTCCCTCTTCTTTGGGGCAGACCCTGAGATATTGGAACACTGCTATCCTGTCCCCCCTCATCCTTCTCTTCATTAAACTAGACATACTTTCTTACGGACATGGCCAGTGAACTTGGGGGTGTGGAGAAGAACAGAACTGAACACTTCCAAAACATCACTTCACTTTCTACTGATGTTAGCACTGCCTGCCATAAGCAATGTCCTTTATTATATCCACATCTGGATTCCCTTCATGTTCCAGAAGAGACAACAACCTGTTTTATATGTATATATGTATATATTACCTTGAGTGCTTTTTGATGCACCCTGTCGACCCAAATAAGTATATATGTATATATGTATATATGTATATATGTATATATGTATATATGTATATATGTATATATGTATATATGTATATATGTATATATATAGTAAAAACAAATAAATACGAACACCAGGATAATATCAAACTAGGATTTGTTTAATAAAAATGCTGAGCTTTCATCGGCCAGCACTGCCGACATCATCAGAGCATAGAAACAAGTCAATGGGAGTTTCCTTTTATAGCACCGGCCAATTTTGCGCACAGCTCTTGGATCTAGTCATCGGTCCATCTGATGTCTCTAATTGTTTCATTCTTGAAAGGCACGTACTCGCTGTTCCCTTGGTGGTTCTCTGTGTGGAGGCCGCTTCCGGAAGTCCATTCTGGGCTTGGGCAACCAAAAATTAGTTACCGGTTCTGCCGAAGTGGTGCGAATTGGCTGAATCCCACCACTGCCCGTAGTGCTCTTAAGCCGGTATCCAACATTCATTCATTTATTTATCAAATGTACTTATCAAGGAGGGAGTGGAATGGTTCAGCACTTAAAGACACTAAGCTTGTCAGCTGGAAAGCTGGCAGCCCAGATTCGAGACACGAGCTCCACGCAAAGGGGTGAGCTCCCGTTCCTTGCCCAATAGCAGTTTGAAAGCATGCAAATGTGAATAGATCAATAGGTACCAGTCCAGTGGGAAGGTAACAGCATTCCATGTGCCTTTGGTGCATAGACATGCTGACCACATGACCACAGAAAATGTTTTCGGATAATGCTGGCTCCCTCGGCTAAGAAACAAGAGATGAACACCGCCCCGTAGAGTCGGAGAACATTGGACGGGGGAAACCGTTACCTTTTATTTATCAAGGACTTTAAAGCCATCTTGATCCCCAGGCCCATGAAAATCCCCCAGCGACATGAGGCACCAGGACGAAGCATGTTCATTTCCAGAAAATGAAAGAGGAGAAAAACTCCACGAGCTTCTTTCTGTTGGTTGTTTTGAAGATCACACTTTGAGGTGTCTTAGAAATGCTCGGCTAGCAGTTGTGAATAGTAGGGGCTGTCCCCAGTAGGATGAGTAAGAAGAACAGAGATGGCCTAACCAAGGAAGGGGAATTCACAAGTTTTTGGCGGCCCTACTAATACCCTGGCTCTGTCCTGACATTCTGGTCACAAGAATCAGAGCAGGATGGTGGTGAGCAGGATGGGATCAGCAGAAGCTTTCACGTCTTCCTTCTCTTGGTACATGGAGGGATGGTCTACAGTTCCTCGGGTTGAAACTGGAAAGCCAGCACCAAACAGGCTGCTGAAGAAGACGACCTACTCCAAGGAGGGCTTCAACCTCTCAACGTCTCTCTTCCTGGACTTTTCTGCACTCGAGGTTTGAAGAAGCACTGTTCTACCCTGAGGTTAGTTGTCTCCCCTAAGTTGGCCAGATGCCTTCATAAAAATGTAAGCTCTCGCTTGCCATCTGTAGTGCTGCAGTTAAGAACAAGATGGGGAAATGTGGCAGCCTAGGAAACATAGTTTAAGAGCCAGCCCTTGGTTTCTGTCATTGCTCCCCACAGCTGAGGAAGTGCTAGGCAGGCCAGCCTTGACCCACAGAGCATGCACCCCCTTCCTAGCCTTCTTTCTTCTTGCAGCAGGAAGGAAGAGCCTCCCTCATCATCTGTGGCTGCCAGACCACAGCTGAGCAGGTGCATTAATGCTTCCTCTCTTAAACCACTTGAATGGAGCGCTGTTATACTCAATGAGTTCCAAGCTGGACGGATAATCTGTTGTGTTCTCTATACTGAGAGAGAAATGGGCATTTACATCAAGCCAACGTCTGAGGGCAGTCCTGTGTCTTGGGATGTCAGAATGGTCTTGTGGGTTTATGGCTAGAGCTGATATGTTGCTCGGTAGGCAGAGAATCTGGCTGGAGAATCTGAGAAATGGTCCATGTTTTGGCCACTGCAGGCAAGCTTTGATTGTTAGTACGGTTAAATCCAGCTGCTCAAGATGCTGGAATTTCTAGTTCAGGAACCAGATCATTCTGCCTGCTGTTGTAAATTCCCAGAGGACCTGGGTTAAATCAGCAAGGTTTGGAGACTCCATTCCACTTACTCAGACCTGTTGGGGAAAGGAATGAAGTTTGGGTAAACAGGAGTGGGGGGGGGATTACATAGGCAGGTGATACCTCTGTTGAGTTAACATCAATCTTTAGCCCTTAAATCCAAACTAGATATTTAAATTAAATTTAAATTTCGTTTGAATTTATCTTGATTTTATTTTAAATTTAATTTAAATATCTAGTTTGGATTTAAGGGCTAAAGATTGTTGAATTCTAAGCATAAGCACAAAGTCCATTTGCTGGGAATGGTGTGTGTGTGTGGGGGGGAGGTCTACTCTTTTTTGTTTCAAAGTTAAAGTAGACCTTGTTGAAGTGTCTTCCACACGACCTCTAGATAATAACTGAAGGCATAATTTTTTAGATGTTAACCAAGCTTGTACATATCTATCCTCTTGAGGGATTTTCAATCGATCACTTGTTCATTGGCAGTCCTGGTTTATTTTCTCCTTCCAAGTTGAATAGCTCACAGGAAGAGGCTAGCACTTAATGATGGTGCCCCGACTTTGTCAGAAAAAAAAATGTCATTCATATTTTTGAAATCCATCGCTGTTATTTTTCAGAACTGTACCATCTCTTCTGGGACCTAGGAAGTCAGCATCTAGTACAGGAACCACTGACTTTCTTCTACCAAGCGGTCTCTCTTTTTAACCATGAATGTTTGTTTGTTGTTTTTGTTCCGAAAGCAATGGAGGAAACTCCAGATCCTGATGTAAACAGGTTGCTCAGTAATTGGTGTAGGATCTGTCCAATAATACCAACAGCTACATCTGATTACTGGGTCTCCTGTGGCATCACAACCTACTGCAATCCTCAACCCTTGAGACACCAAACAACTGGATTTGTTCCTTCCAGCAGTGATTTTTCTACCCTTGTGTTTCTCAACCTCCAAGCAAGGAAAGAGGGGAAAATTTAAAAAATGTGTCCCGTCCACTGTTCCATTGGAGATCCTCATGGTAAAGTGGATCCCCCTGAAAATGTCTTTCAGGAAGAAAGGTGCAGTGTTCGGATATGATGTGAGCCATCAGTGGACTTGATCAATAGAAAAAAACCACACCGTCATCTCAGTTAATGTTTCTCAACCTCAGCAACTTTATGATGGGTAGACTTGGACTCCCAGAATTCCCCAGTCAGCACGCTTCCATAAAGGATGGGCTTCAGTTCCCAGAATGCTGGGAGTCTAAATCTACACAATTTAAGGTGGCTGAGATTCAGAAACACTGTTCTAGCCTAGCCTAGGAACTAGTTGACTAAGCATGATAGAACAATTAAGCAGGGGTTTCCTGGGGAATCTGATTCTTCCATCCATGGCAGCCAGTCATGCTTTATTTTACAGGCTGTTGAATAAGTCCACTTAAGTGCCCTGCATCCCTGGTCCTGATGCTACAAACCCATTTAATAATTAGTATTATTCTCAAGTTAGATATCCTTGTAGAAGGAAAAAGTAATTCTTCCTTTCTCACAGGATACTACACTAAAATCTTTTTTGTGTTGCACAGGCCAGGACTTGCAAATGTCATAATGTTGCAATAAATTAACTTTTTCAAAGAATGTTGCTTTGCTTTATTTACTTTCCCATGGCAGCGTGTGTAGATATTGTGGAATGTTATTTGGAGCTGGCTGGGGCCTTTTAAATGAAATTGGATGGCGTTGGTAATTCTACATTTTGCATAAATCATTCCACACATTAATGGTACTTTTTGAGAGCTGAACGCAATGAAATTTCATTTTAATGTATGCTGACTGGCGTACATTCAAACTGACAATAAAGGTCTATTCTATTCTATTCTATTCTATTATTCTATTCTATTCTATTATTCTATTCTATTCTATTCTATTCTATTCTATTCTATTCTATTCTTTATTCTGTTCTATTCTATTCTTTATTCTGTTCTGTTCTATTCTATTATTCTATTCTATTCTATTCTTTATTCTGTTCTGTTCTATTCTATTCTATTCTTTATTCTGTTCTGTTCTATTCTTTATTCTGTTCTGTTCTATTCTATTATTCTATTCTATTCTTTATTCTGTTCTGTTCTATTCTATTCTATTCTATTATTCTATTCTATTCTTTATTCTGTTCTGTTCTATTCTATTCTATTATTCTATTCTATTCTATTCTATTCTATTCTATTCTATTCTATTCTATTCTATTCTTTATTCTGTTCTATTTGTGTCAAAGTTTTTTTTTAAAAACTCTGCACATGCTCTGAGCCACGCTATTTCAGTGAGTTGGCTGCCTGGTTCACTGCACAGTAAGGAGGGCATTCAGCGGCACAGGGCGGTGAAGAGAAAAGAAAAAAAAAACCTCTGCACACGCTCAGAGACACCATTTCTCCCAGATCCGGGTTCAGACCGGCTTTCCTAGCACCGGGGGGGAGGGCGGAGCCCAGCCCGATGACGCCACAACCCCACCCACCTCAAGCCCCGCCCACGCGGCCGTCGCCTAGGTGACTCCGCAAAAAAAAGCGCCGCGTCTGCCGGGCGGCGCGTGCTAGTCGGGTCCCTCCACGCGCAGGCAAGAGCGCGCATGCGCCCGCCGGAGCGCGATGGAGGGGTCCGCCTACCCGGGGGAGGAGGAAGAGGAGGAGGAGGAGCTGCTGGAGCCGCCCTACGGCCGCGTCGCCCACTCGTGCTCCTCCCTCATCCGCCTCGAGCAGGAGGCCAAGCGCAGGAAGCGGGCGCAGCAGCAGCAGCGCCGCCTCTACACCATCATGCCAGGTGAGGGCCTCCCGCCGGCCCCTTTCCTCCCCCTCCCTCCCTCCCTCCCTCCGCCGTTCGGGGGGGTAAAGGAGTGACGTCACCGCGGGAGGGGGAGGAGGGTCTTCGGCTGGCTCCGCCCCCTTAGGCTTTCCCTCCTTCCCCCCCCCCTTGAGGAAGGACTCCCTTGGAGGTGGGTTGGCTTTGCTGGTGCCTTCTGCACCTGTTGGGACTCCATTACCCATCTTCCCCGGCCTCTGGGAGGGAGGGAGGACCGTACGCCTCTACCCCTGCTGGCTGGGCCTACCTTACAGGGGTGTCAGGGAGATGCCCCGAATGGAATCAGGGAGGTTCCCTTGAAAGCTGCTGGAGGAAATCCATTTCCATGGGTGGTTCTAGAGAGGCATTGAAATTATTATTCTTACTATTATTATTGCTTTTATTATACTATTATTACTAGTATGCTATTACTATTATTATTATAATTGTTAAAAATCCCTGGCTGGGCAATTCTGGGAGTTGAAGTCCACCTGTCTTAAAGTTGCCAGGTTGGAGAAAAAACACTGAAGTAGATATTATTATTATTATTATTATTATTATTAGTAGTAGTAGTAGTAGTAGTAGTAGTAGTAGTAGTAGTAGTAGTAGTAGTAGTAGTAGTAGTAATAATAATAATAATAAATAATAATAATAATATAATAAAGTTGGAAGGTACCTTGGAGGCCATCTAGTCCAAGCCCCTGCTCAGGCAGGAAACCCTATACCATTTTGGACAAATGGCTGTCCATTTGAACACCCCTTGCTTGTGCTACTCTGAGATGCCTAATAAGTTTATTTGGAATCACCTTACCATTTTTCATAAAAAAAAAAAAGCTCCTCTCCACTAATGTTTACTTAATATATTACTATATCCCACTTTGTTGTGTACATTTGTACAACATCAAAATTAAGCATCCGGGGAGGTTGTTTTGCATGTATTTCATTGCCCAGAGATTTCTCATGGCAGCTCAGAACATTCCCTGACTCATTTGACCCTCACCATAACTCTCTAGGGCAACCGTCCTTAAGTTGCAGGCAGTTGCCCCAAAGGGGTAATTGGTACATATCCTGCAGGAAATTGGAGCAATTTAGAATGGACCCAATTTGGGACTGTTGCCGCCAAGACCCTTGTTTAAACAAATTGCCTGTGTGCACACACGCGTGTTGGGAGTAATGACAGTATTTGAGACCAGGAAAAGGGATAATTGGATCAAACCATTTAGAAACCACTGCTCCAGGGAATTCTAGGTTTTCTTTAGACAGGTCTTGCGTACTTAAAATCAGTTGGGTTGATCCAGAGCTGTGATGTCCTGTTTGTGGCTTTGCCACATCCAAAGTGGAGTTGGAATTGGGAAGAAGAAGCAGCCACCATCCGTTCAGGACTGCCCCAAAGCCCTGTTCATTCTTAGCCTGTTTCAACTCGGCTCTCGGATTTGTAGCTGGAAATAACAAAAGCCTTCGCTTTGCTTTTATTTCACTCCCCGCTCCTCCTCTTGGCTTGTACAGTAAAAATAAAACAGTGTATATTTTCCTTAGTGATTCAGAAGCCATTCTTGGTGAGATGTTGATTGATTGATTTGATTTATGATTTATTATATTTATACCCCGCCCTTCTCCCGGAGGACTCAGGGCGGCTTACAGCCAGTTTAAAAACAGTTTGATACAAATACAAAATACAAAATTTAAGAGAATAATTAAAAATAAATATTTAAATAGGCCGCTTCTACTAAAATTTAGTTAAAACCAATTTAAAATACCCCTAGGCCAGTCCTGCCCGCTGAAA